TTTTCATGTGAACTGCTACGATCAAAGTTGCTGTAATTAAGTTAACACAAACAGCAGATATGGGCTACTTTGGAAAAGGATCTTTTTATACTTAGCAGCTTGATGTATTTAAGGCATTAAAAGGCTGCTCTTTCAGAAGCATTTCAAACAGCTCACAAAAGTACACATACCCAGCAGAGAGAGAGAAATCAGAACCTCAATGTAGACTTATTTTTCCATCCTGCTGCTTTATTGGGTTTTAAGGCTCAGATTAACACTGAGATTTTACATATTAAAAAAAAAATAATTGTAGAAATAGTCACAATATATATTCTTCCCATGGCTAAAAATAGAAAAGAATTCTGCCTACTATTCAGTGGGCTCAGCTTCATCAATGCAGGGCTTCACATTTATGGACCATCAGGGCCCTAGTCTGACATCCTCTCACACTCCAGAAGATCTGCCTATTTAAATAATTCAGACAACTAAACCATGGTCACACACAATTGGATTGCTAAACCTAGCCAGTCCCTGAATGATTTGAGAGACTGGATGGCATGAATGGTTCTCGTTACAGAATTTGGCTTTCTCTTCTGCACACTTCAGGTCTCTGTGAGGCCATTACCAAGAAATGTGATGCCCAGTCTAAATTCTCTGAAAAGGTGCAGAATTATTAAGAACTCTCTTCATCATTTAAATGGTGACAGCCTAGTTCTAAAGCAGAAACATTAAGTACTGCAATTCAGATATGAAGCATTTAAGTATTCTCAGTCAGTTGAGAAATATTTCTAGCAATTCATGCATTCATTCCAACAGGATTTCTTAAGAATGGGCATGGAATGACAGAAATAACAAAAACTAGACTAAGAATTTCCTATTTGTGCTAACGTACCTGCTTGCTTGTTATTGTTTTTTTCTCAGAATCAGACAGCAACGTGACTGCCTCTTCATCTGAAAAATATTCCAATGAACATGCCAACAAAAGCAGTGCAAGAAAATGGATACTACCAGTATTTACTTTTCAAGCATCACAATTAGGCTGTGTCAAGTTAAGGGCATGCACTGACACATGGATGAAAATAATTGAAAATTTTATTAAATAATTTAACTGCACCTATTTTTATCAGTGTTTTGGATGAGGATCTACTCTTATGCATCTGTGGGATAGAAGCAGCAACACAGTAGAGATCTGTGAAAGCTGAAGCATAGCCTTTAGAAAATTCTGCCATTGAAATGGATTTTGGCCCAAAAAAACTTGTGAATAGCTGTCTTACACCATTTTTTGAAGAGAAACATCTCTCCTACCCTTGTTAAATTTTTAACTGAAAAAAACCCAAATAAAATATCACCCTCTATACTGACTAGAGACAAATTCAGTGCTCCCATCGATGAACAATATGTAGTTTGTGAACTACTCACCCAAGTATCATGTAATTGTCCAAAATTACATTACTTAAATTCCTCACTTTATACAAATATCTAGCTTAATGAAGGCAGAAGAACTGCAAACCAAAATTAAGCATAAATCTCTGTATTTTTTTATTTGTTCCCCTCAGCCATTTGTCTCTATCCCTAGCGTACCAATGCTATTGCTCTAGGTTATGCTGAACTCTAGAACAACTCATTTTAAAACCCACAGCACTTCAGAACTGCACTGCCAAGCTTAAGAAACGCTCAACTGCGACAAGGGAATAAAAAGAAGTAGGAGAATTGCAAACTATCTTTACCATCACAGAAACTGTAATATTCAACTCTTTAGCAAAGATTTTATACTCGCTTAGTTCTGGCATAGACCAATGCTGCTTCCACTTCAGTGGTGGCTGATGAGGAACTTGTCATAGCAATGGAAAAGGAAAAAAGAAAAAAGACAACCCCCCTCTGGAAATTCCAGCTTTCAAGTTAGCTTTAAACCTGGATAAAAGTATCTCAACTTCCTAACAGAGATCTAAAAATTTGCAACTGTGGTGCATTTTCCAGATCTTCACAATAAACCCCCTCCACATTCACAAAATGCAGAAGGAGGCTAGAAGTTACACTCTCTTGGGACTTCCTAAAGTTTCTGAATCATGCCCTTTAAGTTTCAAGACTTCTTGCTGGTTTTTCTAAAAGCATTTTTTTTTTTAAAGAGCTAAATCATAGCAAAGAAATTATACTGCATGTACCGAGATAAATCTGTCAGGATACAGAGATAAGCAGGCACCAGCTTGAAGCGCACAATTTAAAATTTCATTGATGATCTAGACTTCAGGAAGCATCTTTCATGTATTACTCTCCTCTTGTTCCTTCACCACCCCTGGGATCAATGCAGACAGGTATGTCTTAAGTGCTCCCTCTCTTCCCTCAGCAGTTGATAAAGTTGATTTAAATCAAACAAGCTACAGCCACCTTTGGCTACCTACAATAGGGTTTTCCTCACTGCTGCCAAAGCAGGGGTGTACTTTAATGAGAGGGAAGAAGTGGCAGATTTCTTAAGGCACTCCATTCACCAGGGCTTGGATCTGGACTCGGGCAGCAGTGTGAGGGTGGCAGCAGCCCAGCTGAGCTGCACACCACAGCTCAGAGCTCTCAGCAGAAGAGCTGGTCCTCTCCTACGCTGCTATCAAACTGTACAGCCAACAGACATTCAAAGTTCCCTGTTTAACTGGTGAAGTATCTGATCCAGCATTTACAACCTACATTAGATATTCCCAAAGAGTAACATACCCTGAAGTAATTGTGTGCTATTCTTGATATAAGATACATGTCTCTAGCTTCCAAATCTGTCCAAGCAGAGGCTTTCATCCAGCCTGGAGGAATTTACACCTCCTGCCAACAGAACATACACTTCCAGATCAGAATGTGAAAAGAAAGTGAGGAATAAACTGAGGAATGACAGTAAAAACTAGGGAGCTGAGAGCAAAGGTAGATGATGCTGTGCAACTGGGATACAAGTTTGGGATAAGAATATGAAAAAATGCATAACTTGGGTACCACTGCAGATGCAATTATGAAGTTTAAAAAAGTATTTTTAAATTAATGCTATCTATCTGTAAATCTACACATGCACTTAACATTAATTCCACCTAGTTTAGGGGTATTAAAGCCTCCAGGTACTGGATCTTCTCAGCTTATGTCATCATAGATAGGCAATTAGTTCAGAGTCCAAACTGGAAACACCCTACTAAGCCTTTTGGTTTAGCTTTTTTTTGTTAAACAAGAGGGCTAATATTCAAATGATGTCACTCCAAATAAATATATAGTCAGATAAAAAAACTCCACTGAATCAACTCCTGAAACAAAAACAATCAAAGAACTACGTTTTATTCTAGATGCCCTATACAGATTTACTAGAAAAAAATTAAGACATCACTTAAGCTATTAGTATTTGATGGGTAGGAAATAAAATGCTCGGCCAAGTTTTCGACACTCTACACAACCTCAAAGTCATAAGACTAAAGAAATAAAAGGTTTTGGTCCAAAGCACTAGCTGACATCCACCAAGCATGACATGGTAAGGGGAACATCTCAGCCTTCCACCTAAAACTGTGCAATGGGAAGAGATCAAAAAGCTCTTCTAAGCATGGCTAGGTTTAGAGTTTCTGTTATTCTACCTCTTCCATTCTTCTAAAATAATCCACTCTTACATCCTATTGCATGCTCCCCCAGTGCTAACTGCCTTCAACACATAATATAGTCCAGAAATAACTCAGATGTAAGAATAGTGTAGGAACTTTACACTCCTTTCTCAATTAGAAGTTAAACAATGCTGCATGATTACATTAATTTAAACATATCTTTCCTTTTCCACTCTTCAGCTAATGCATCTGTGATATCCTGATGCCTGCCGTGATGACAGCATCAATTTCAAGACTCAAGGAAGAGGCACACACCAGTTCCTTCAAAACACTTCAGAAGAATGATTTTGCTACCAAAACAGGATGCAAATTACAAACATTGCCAGTGAAGCTAGCTGTGCATGAAGTTTTACTGAAAAAATGAGAAAACTGAGATAAAAGCATCATCCAATAGCCTTTAAAATATTTCTAAAATTAACTGTAAATATCAAGTTGTAAAAAAGAAGTTTCAGATAGCTGATTTTTCTTAAATATATACGCTTCAACTTTTTATTTTTAAGCTCGGATGTTTTTGTATCTAGACCATGTAATAAATAAGATTATCCATGGCATGTTATATATTGTCCTTATGCTTCTATAGTCATGAAAGCTGTGGCCTTCAAATGCAAAAACCCACACCACTGATTTCAGATGCTAAAACCAGTAGCTTTGCTATCATCTTGCACAAGTTTAGCTGCAGGCTGTAAGGGAAAGTCACAGTCAAGCACACCAAGCAGAGGACTAACAGCTCTGATGAAGTTGCTGATGGTCCTTAACTTTTATTTGGTTTAAATATAACCAGATAAAAATACAGCTTTTTGGAAAGCTACTTGTTTAGAATAAAGAACCACTGGTCTATTAAAACCACCAGAACAGATCACATTTATAAATTGGATAATGAAGGGAAATAACTCTCCTTCAGTTCAAACTGCCCTAGGCTCAGTATTTGTTATCTTTTTGCTCGACATGGGGATTTTCCAATTTACTCAAATACAGCCTTCCACTTTGTCGGCGCAACAACCCAAGAACAAAGCCCAAAGGCTTCTATTCCTTCTGGCAGATTAATTACTAATGACTGGAGAAGAGTCTGTGCTAGAAAAAAGTAAGCATAAGACAAGGTCTTCCCTTGTTTTCACAGCTCATTGTATGAAAAATCTAGCCTGCAACCTGGAAACACCACCACAATATCAAATCGGCATTTTTAGCTTCCTGTATTGCACTAATCCAAGTATTTGTAACTCACTGATTTTCAAGTTAAACTACATCTCTTTATCATTAACCATCTGTTTAATCTTTAGTCCTGGAAGTTTTTATGTGCATTTCTGTGCTCCAATGAAAATAAATTTAAAAAAAATAAATCAAAAGCATTGCCATCAAAGACATGGAAAATGAGATAACATTCATGAAAATATATAGGCATAGGCTCACCTTAAATCTTTTATCCTGCAGGACTTTCTTAATGGCCACAAGCTCTCCTGAATCACAGAGTTTGGCTTGATACACAACACCAAAAGATCCATTTCCAATCACCTTGGTGTCTGTGTAGCTAACTTCTTGTGGTCGGTCCGGACCTTGTCCAGGAGTTGCCACTACTGTAGTCACTTTGCTGCCATCTTTGTCTCCTGGGAAGCAAGAGATACATAAATAATCAAAATACATGCGTAAACAAGATGACCAACAAGACCGAAATAGAAGAGGGTAAGGCAAAGATTTAAATCAGCATGTGTATTTGAGTATTATAGAGAAAAATAAAAAAACCTGCCAAAATGCAAAGAAAACACTCAGCATATATTTTACTGAAATCTTTTGACTGAAGTGGTTATAATTTATCTAAATTATTGCTAACAAAAATATTTCCTTTCCAGAAGCAGATAGCTCAGCTATAAAATGTGATGCATGATGAAGGCAAGTACTTATTCCTGCACCTGAATAACATAAATGGTATTAAACAGTGTTGTTTGTGTTACCAAAATGAAGCATTTCCCCATACTTTCCTGTAGCTGAAGAAACCAAACTATCAGTATAGCCTGCAGAGCAGCACTCTGTCCTTTATAAGCATGTATCCAGCAATAAAAAACCAGAAGCACTGACAAAGTTTGTTATAAACCCACCTACATGTGAAACTTCAGCTTGCACACACTAGGAAGCAAAACCTGTCAAAGCTGACTGTGTGCACCTGAAGCAAAACCTAGGAAACCTTTTCCAGCCATATTACCACCAAAAGACAAAGCTGCTACTACCTATTCTTAGCACCACTGTTGTCACTAGCGGTGCTTCCCCTTGTTCAAAGTCTGATTTTGTTTGCGATGGGACCAAAGTTTCAGGCATTTTGCAAGCACACGCTAGGCATTTATTGTCCTTCGGTTACAATGGCTCAGGTTACAGAATCGAATAAGGCTACAAGAAAAAACAGAATCTGCTGATCCACAGCAGTCACTCTGCAACTCTACAGAAACTGCTTGTCATATCTGCTTATTAAGAAACCTTCCTTCCACAGCTTCCCCAGGGAGTCTCTTCCCATCCTTCCCTACTCATGCATTTAGAAAGATTTTTGTAACATGTAGTTAAGATCACCTTTAGTACACTTTAGGCAAATCATTCCTTGTTCCACTCCCAGAAGGCATGGGAAAATGGCACAGCTCCCCCCTGCCCTCTTTCTCCCTCACTACCCCTTTCAAACATCTGAGGGGTTCTTGCAAAAGAAGTTACCACGATGGAGAAATTATTTCTTTCAGGGAGCTCCCCCCCTCACTGCTAAAAATCTTGCAGGTACAGTACCCAAAACCAGACCTTGCAGAGGAAGCTCCACCCAGCATGCTGGTGACTTCTCATGCCTGACTTACACCACACTTGTTTGTACAGCCCAGCACAATGTTTGCAGCTTGTGCAATGCTGCAACCTGGTTGACTCATGATCAGTTTGTGTACCAAACTCTCCTCTGCAGAGGTGCCGCCTGTCCAATCCTTGTTCACTTTCCACTTACACACCTGATTACTCTTATCAAAGCCTAATAGTCTGCATTATGCCCTGACTGAACTGCATCCAAGGTTACCTAAGGCTCTTTTGCCTGCCTGACACATCCTTCAAGTGCAGAATCACCACCAGAAGGAAATCCCTTTCATGATGCTACATGAAGTTTATCTAACAAATTGGTGAAAACCAGTGATCCTGTGAGATTGCTTAAAAACCCTGCAAACAGCCATTAAATATGTCATCCTAATTTTAACCTGAACCTTTTGTTATGCTCAAGCAAAATAACCAAACCATTTTGGATGCCTTTCAGAGCATTTCCAGCAGTTCATCGTTTTCCTAGGCTTCTTATAAGAAAATTAATTTGAAAACTTCAGTCAAGATACACTCATCTACTACTACTTCTTCTATACCTGTAAGATCCAGAAGAAAAGTAGGTTGGCTTGGCATGATTTGCTCCTGAATAATCCACATTAACTGTTAGTCATCTCTTATGTTGCCTTTTAGGTTCTTAGAAATTGTTTGCTTTTATGCATCCAACTGCTCCATGAAACAAATGAACCAATTAAAAATAAATAAAGCACATTAGTGCTAAGAGTGCCAATTACTTGCCAAGCAATACACAGTAGGTATAGCCCTTCCACAAAATATTTACAAGAAGGTGAGGTGCAGATTTACACATTTGAAGAGAAAATGGGGTGGAGGGGCAGAGGAAAAATGAAAAGAGAGGAATATCTGCTCTGAGGTAGAGAGAGAGAGAAGTATAAATGGAAGACAACTAAAGCTGCATGGAAAATTCACCCTCCTCTATTAACTGTAAGAAATAAATGGAAAGAAGCCAGAAAAAAGAAAGAAACCTTTTTTAGGTAAGTAAGTTGAAAGTGTAATTCTGATAACAGGTCTGCATTTTATTTGCCTGATTATTCTATGATTGGCATTCTAACTCAACACACAAATAGATGACATCTGCTTTACTGCAACAAGCCTCATTTAAAAAGTAATCCCCTACTTCCCCAATTTTCTGGTTGTTGTTTTTTAGTGGGTTTTTTTGTTTGGGGTTTTTTTTGTTGGTTTTTTTTTTTTGTGGGTTTACTTTTTTTTCCCTTGGTCACAAGGCCAGAGTATCAAGATTACTGTTAATGAGGTTTATTCCCCTCTTTCCCAAAAATCAAGACTACTGAAGTCTTTGGTTGGGGGGGAAGTCCCCTGCAATACTGATTCAGATTTGAAGTACTTGGTATCAAGAGATCCGCTGTGAGGACACTCTTCAGAGCTTCAATTCACTTAAAGGTCTCCTCAACCGCAAAAGCAAACCTTGAATTTCAGGCCACGTCAGGTGGTTCTTCCCAACGTGGCTCTGCAATGACCTGGCCAACTTCTCCTGAGTTCTGATGAGAAGCCAGTCAGCTTTACATCCTTTCCTTTAAGTCCATGGAGAAACAGTTCCTAAGTGAACTTAGTTATGAAAATACTGAGTACCAAAAAATGTAAGCACTGACACTTTAATTAGCTACACCAAGAAGTACTTTCTTTACCAGAACCTTACAGAATATTAAGCTTCCTAGATACTTCTCCATTTCCTTCTTTCAATAAATAACAGCTTTCACAAAACCACCCACAAGACACTGTAAGGACTCCGACTTTTTTTTTTTTAAAAAAAAAGCAAGCCTGTTAAAGAGTTTCAGTTATATTCAATTACTGAGTAGCTGAACCTGAGAGACTGCAGGGGTAAAATTCACCCTGCACCTTTGACAGCTTTGATCTCAAAGAGCAAAACATCTCACTGCTTTTCAAAGTATACAGATGTGTATTGTATCACAGCAGCACCCAGGGGCCACAAGCCTGTTTTGCCCTTCACTCCACTACGCAGATGTTCAAAATACCATACACAGTTCAGAACGGTTATCCCAGTTTTTATTGTCTGGACAGCAAGAGTTGTCTTGCCAGCCAAACAGCATGTAAAGGAGTTCACTGAACAGCTCTGGGAAATACTGGTTTTAGCCGCCTCAGCATGACAAAAGATAGCGGAAACACCCTTTTCCAGCAATCTTCAGTACCTCCAAATTGAAACTCCCAACAGCGAACACCAAGAAGCATTATACCACAGCAAGTCTTAATGAGAAGCCTAGACATTTTTCATCTCATCCCTTTCACCTCTTATTTTGTTTCAGACCGTCAGACTTAGTGGCCCCAGTGGATAAGCAGGCATTGTCAAACACATAATACCCTGACACCTTTGATTGTAGGTCTACAATAGAACTAGAACATTAAACTGAAAAACTAAGGAAGGATGGATCAGACACCAAAACTCTGTGCTCTTACAGCACAGCTCTCATCGGGAGAGTCACCAGTCTTTGTCCAGATGAAGCAGCTTTCTGGGACCGACAGCAACATGACCTACCTTTACTGTAACAAAAAAGAAGATTCATGTGACGGTAAAACCATCATCCACATTTCAAACCACCTTTATAACAACCAGGACAGAAGCACAAAGAAGAAAAAATAAAGAGCTATCAGTCTGTAATACACTTTTATTTGCACTTGGTATGTTCCCTGTAAACCCTTAAAGCATTTCCTCATACTATTTTGATGCTTAACATCCATGACGTGGTATTTAGGGGTGTTTTGAGGGAAAGATTATTCCAGAAGTCTGAAGTGCAACTGAAGACAAAATCCAGACATTTTAATTCCCAAATGCTCTGATCTTTCTAGCTCACTTTCCACCTTTAGCACATAATGACCGTAAGGGACAAATCTCAAGCATTAGGTAAAATCAGTGGTTTGAAAGCAGAGCATACTCATCAATCTGGTAAGAAAAGAACATACTCCATTTATAGGAGTTTATTACAGCATCAGTGAAAGCACTATTTTCCACTATTTTGGTGTAATTTTTGAATGGCTCATGTTATAATTCTACCTAATGCAAATGACCACTTACCCTTGCAAGCTAAGTATTAATTCAATTTTGTACACAAAAAAAGTTGACTATATTCAATTCCATCTTCTGTTTATACAACTCACCTATTAAACCAAAATTAACATAGATCAGTATTATTCTAATGAAATACATATATGGTTTGAGAATAAAAGGCATGCATCTCAATTTAAAAAAAAAGTGACAGATCCCAGGTGAGACAAGGGAATTTGCTACTGGACAAGAATTTCATCACATAAATAACTCACCAGCTATAGATTCCTACCACTAGCTCAAAGCTGACTATCCTACAATTGTACTGCACATATACTTTTTGCCAGTGCCTAAACACAGCTGTCAGTCAATAAAATTCACTGCAGCCCTCAGAGACCATGAAATACGTCCTTCGCTATTGATCAGAACTCCCCCTATGCCTTCTGTTGACTGGGCCTGGATAAAGTCCAAAATTTTGTCTGCCCTACATCCCTTCAGCTGTTTAGCTTCTGACTGAGCACTACAAATGCACGTTAATGCACACAGTCTGAGATCTGTGATTCTTTCTTCTTTCAACTACATATACACCCTCTTCCTCCTCTGTTTTGAAGTTGAAGGGAAGAAACAAGGAATTAGTAGGATGTTTACAGCTGCTTTCTTCCTACTTCAAATGTAATCTCAATCCTTTGTGCTGTCTACAAAGTCTTCCCCTTTTCCTCTTTCTTTTGACTTTATCACCTCTTGCTTCCCTCCTCCAATTGCTACACTACTCCTCACTGGCATGCACACAGGTCCTCCCCTTAGGTGTTACTTAGGTTATTTTTAAGTCCTTAAAAAAAAACCCCAAACCCAACTCACAGACCTACAAACACTCTCTACAACATCTGGTCATGTAGTTGTCTATCTCCACATAATACAAGTATCTTCACTCATCCGATTTAATTCTCAGTGTCACCTCCCTATTAAGATATGGCTCAATATTAAGTCAGTATGGACTACTCCCCTTCCCAAGTGTAAGGCTTCTGCACCCTCTTTCATTTTAATTTGCTCAATGTTCAATAAGTCAACAAGTCACTTCCGCAGAAACCCTATACTGCTGGGTGTAGCTCTTGCCAATTTCAATAGGTTACAAGCAGCAGCTGACATGACTATCTATAGAGAAACGAGTGATCAGGAGGGGATGGAAATCAATCAGAACTGCATTGGCTTTTTTCAGTCATTGAAAAGGTCAAAAGATTGGAATACTCTGTGAAACAAATGTCTTAATAGAAAGCACAAGAAAAGTTATCTGCTAGGATCTGATGCCAACCATCAAATCAGGCTATGAAATAAAACACCTGGCTTCTTAGATATCTGTTAATGGCATGTGAAGGAAGGAGGTCGTCAGCTGCTCTGAGAGTCTTCAGTGTGAGCAACATATGCTTGAGGCAATATGCTGTCAGCAGTAGAA